TTGCTTGAATAAATATCTTCTTTTTTAAAGGGGCTTTAAGATTTAGTGTGCGTTGGAGTTAATCTAATATCGTTACTAAAAATGAAGTGAAGTCCTTATTCTAGTGAATTATTCTTTTGATAATTTAAATCGAAGCATTATGGGTTGGTGATTTTTGAAAGACGTCATGATTGAGCTAGTCACTGCGGGGATGCTCGATAAATTGTTGGTCTAATTTGTAATGTCTCCTTGTAGTGTCCGCTGCAGTATTTAATTCGATAAATCAGCTTTCGAATCTTGCATTCCATTATATTTGTAAAGGGGGAGGGTGTTCGATAGACCTACCTCCACGTGGTGCACCCTGGGCAACGCATACTCATACGGCAAAAAAGTCTATTAACTGGCAGTTGACTTCCCACTTCAAACTACCATCACCCCACTGTATGTCATAATCGACTACTTCCACAGTGCTCACCTAACCTTTTTTCTACCTTTATGTCTGTCTCTCGGTTTTTTTCGCTTTGATGTTCCTCCTCCTCTCTGTGAAGACTGAAGTCAATTAAAAGGTCAATGATAACTATCAAGATGCCTGCCATTTTGGTATAAATATATTTGTATGGCAGTGTCTTACTGCAACATGCAAGAAAAAATATGAGAGTAACTTAGACCGTAATGTTGATCCAATTAGCTTTATAAAGTATATCTTCTTTTACATACACACTCAGAATAAAATAGTACCCCAAAACAAAGTGTCATGTTTGTGTTTCTCGCGGTGATGAAAGAATCGAAGGGGATAAATAAGATAATCTCGACATAAATTGACCCATTTACAAAAGCTAATGAGATTATTATGAGTCATTGAATGTGAACTGTCCCGCCATACTTCAAGCTTTAAACAGCTAAGCATGAGCCTCAAGTCAGTCTTCAGCCGATGCTAACTTATATTACCAAAGATTGTATTAGTTAAATTAGCTGACTAAGAGTTTCATCTCCTGAATATATCTGATACATGCTGTCATCAACACTAAGGGGACATCGAAATTATCTACCTCGTCCTTGACCTTAAATATTCGAAAATTAAGTCAAAAGAGAAAAATTCGACGCATTGAAGCACACAATTTTAACATACTTTCTATCCGACTAGACATGAATTTACGGATAATTATTCTTGATTCCCTCACGAGAACACAGGAGAAGGAAAATTAAAACAGAGGACCGTTCTGAACATTCCTAGTAAGATTTATTAAATTAAATTGAAAGAATTGCTGTTATAAAAAGCAATCGTATTTGAGTAAACGGAAAAGTAATTTTTCAACATTTATGTTAAGGTTTGGGTTGGGTTGGAGAAACTTGTCATTATACTATTGTCCAAAGATTAATGCACTTTTTGTTATGGTGTTTTCTTCTTTCATTCAAGTTATCGCTATCATACGAGTGAATCGATATATGCCCCTTATTTGTCATCACACACCATTCCTCTATTGCTTACGAAAATGGCACCTTTTGAGACTATGAGTGAAAGGAAAAGTAAGAAATTACGTCTTTCCTTGCCATTTATTTGTCCAACGAAAATTATGTAACGTCGCACTTAATTAACCGGTTTATAAATCTGTAAAATTATAAATTGTTAGGACAAAAATGGAGAATGTATAGCAATTTTCAAAATGTGTAAATAATTCCAGCAAGAAAATTGATTCTATTGGTAATAAATTAGTTCATTCATATCAATCCAGTTAAGTAAGTAATGCTTGTTATATTGAGACACGTCATAGCACGCTCGCCAGGATTTGGAGTTTGCGGCCGTAAGCCTAGAACACTGCTCAGAGATATTTAGCTATTAATGTTCATTTAAATTATGTTAGATTTATCTAATAACTATTCGCTTTTGCCCGATTTCATAATATTCAATAAACATGTTATGCGTAATACGTCTCTTTCCTCCCTAGCTTCGTTGTAGCTTAGCTAGTTCAGGAAGTCTAGCCAGATGTAGGAGACACTGCCATTGTGATTTCCGAGTCGGCCAAGGCTTTACTGGTGTAATAATCCGATACATTACCTAAACAGCTGATCAGTTCTCTCAGGCGCAAAACTTAAACTCAAGTACAGAATATTTTATACACAATGAATAAATAGTCGATTCAGGTGAAAGTTAAAATAAAGTTAATAGTATTAAAGAATGTGGAAAATTCACGTTATGCATGAAATTTAAAAAAAGGAAATTGAATCGCATTCTGAGAAATTCATATTTTTAATGGGAATATGGTCTAGTCAATGTCTTCCATGGGGTCAGACTTATATTAGACGAGCGTTATAAAGGCATTCATAAAATTACAACCAAAACCCATTCATCATAGTATCTTAATAAGGGAACAGCTAAATGATTTTAATCATAACGGTGGGGAGAATTTGCTCCTTATTTGAATTTTAAATTGGCCAAAATTTTAACCAGATTTATGGAAATACAAGGGGTATTGTTGACGTATAGGGTTCAGCATGAATCGTCACATTTAAAAATTTATGATTCTTCTTTCGCAATAAATCGAATAAAATTGTGGAAATTTGTCAACTCTCTCAAACGGTTTCTCTGACTTTGTTTGCTGAAAGTCAAGGACACTAGTAATTTTAAAATATCCAATCACAAATTAACACCTTTCCATAACTTGACGTGTTGTCTACTAAGTCTCGCGTAGTCGACGATGTTGTTACGAAAAATTTCATTCATTTTCCTCTGTCTTTCCATTCTATTGTCGATTTGCAATGGATTATCTTCAATGTCAATCGATCTAGGGACGGATTTTACAAAAGTTGCTGTTGTTAAGGTAATTCTTTATATGCTTTCTAACTTCTTCCTTTAGCCCGGTTTACCTATGGAAATAGCTCTTGACAGGTATGATTCTATAAAGGTTAAATTTCTTTTTAAGCATGGCAAAACGAACAATACCTACTCTAATTGTTCTTGAAATGGGCAATCGTCTTTTCGGCAACCGGGCAGTAGCTTATGTATATATCTGACTTTGCTTTTATGTTTTGCTTAACTCATCACAATTTTATTTATGCCTGCATTTTTTACTTTCAGATGGCGAAAAATCCAAAAATTGTTTTTGCTGAATTGCCGTCTATAATTGGCAAAACCCTTGATCACCCAACAGTAAAGGCATATCAAAAACGCTATCCTTATCACAATCTAGTTTTCAGTTCAGAATTCCATCAACTTGCATTTATTGTCGAGTATGTTGTTTTGTCCTCTTTTTCCATTTTGTATATTTATTTTTTCGCTTATAGTGGCAAGGAGTATACGGTTGAGACTCTGTTGGCTATGTTTTTGAAATACGTAAAGCAAACGGCTGAAGCATTTGCAGGTACGTGGTTAATTTCATAACCATTGATTTGCTTTCTAGGATCTGAAATGAAGACCGCGGTGATCACTGTTCCCACCTTCTTTTCTCAATCTGAAAGAAGAGCAATTTTAAGAGCTGCTCATCTGGCTAATATCGATGTCATCCAACTAATGTCTAACAATCTTGGTGTTGCTTTGGACTTCATTCGAAACAATGTAAAACTAGTCGCTGATAAACCCGTTTATGCTTTCTTCGACGTCGGTGCAACTGCTACAACTGCTACAATTGTTTGTATGTATTTTAGTTTTTTGAATCAATGGAAGATAAAATTAGTTTCACTAGCTTAGTTCTTTACTTAAACTTTAGCTTATGAGAATGCTAAACCAAAAGGAGAAACAACTGGCGAACATCCTCATGTTTTCATTCGTGGAACTGCGTGAGTTCTTTATCTGACTACTCTATTTGTCAACAATGTCGATGGACAATGTGTCCATGAGTTCTGACTCTACAGCCATTGAATTTCGTGGTTCTGTGTTCTAAATCTGTAATTGCATATTTGGAAGCTTTTTGTAGTATTCGTTTAGTGCTTGCTATCGCTAACAGAGATTTCGCATTGTGAAGATACCATCCTTAAAACCTAACATTGTTACACTCCTATCAACTCATATAACCAATTGTTCATCCTCATTTTAAACTAAACGGAATATGGGAGCAGGTAAATTTCTCTATTCAAATAGGATAACTGTGTATGAGTTTTAAATTGCATCTCATATACAAAGGAGTGAATTCTAGCACATTCTCTGTGGCATTAATTTAAAATAAGTTACAAAGTATATTATCAATTTTGGTTGCCGGCGCCAATATTAATAAGCTTGCCATGGTTGGCAATATTTCATCAGAATTTTTTCAGGTCTTGTGTCTTAGTTTTAGTAAATAGTTAGTTATTTTACTTTTCCACTTATAGAAGTGACTCCACACTGGGCACTAATGCTTTTATCGATCGCCTTGAAGCACATTTCGTAAAGAAATTCAAAGAGGGGAACAAAGTCGAGGCTGATCTCACCCAGAATGCCCGTGCTCTTGCAAAATTTAGGAAGGAGGCCGCTCGAGTCTTCAAAATCTTGAGTGCCAATAAGGAGATCCGTGCTACGGTGAGTAATACGATTCCTGGGTCAATTAAAATTGAGTGACTTTAAACAGGCATCACCATATACTTTTGTCTAACGTGACAGTTTTCATTCCTTTCCTACATTTTTATAGTTCATATTATCAGTATGTTGTTGAGTTCCAAACAAGTATCGTGAATAGTGCCCCTTCTTCATAATAACTTTATATTGATTTAAAGCAATCAAGCAAGCTTTCCTTTTACAATTGAATTTTAATTTGGTTCAAATGGTGTTCATCTGATTTCAGTTGTGAATATCTCTTTGTAATTGGCGTTGTATTTCGTTTGCTTTATGCTATTCATATCTCACAACGAAGAAGGGATAAAACCGGTTGAATTTTTCTGATGAGAGAACTTTATTTTGGATTTTTCACGAGTGATTGGCTGCCTTGGTTTGCCAATAATAACATCAAATTTTATTTGTGCTAGAGAGTTTCACTTGGTACTTCGAAAATGTTAGAATCGGGTTTCTAGCACGTTTAAGTAATTACCCCCGAAATCCATTTGTCCGGTAAAGTGAATGATAATCAAGGAAAGAATTATGCAAAGTTTTCAAGATATCAATCCTCTTCCCTATATGCGTTTAATTCGATTGCCTTTTGATCAATGTGTGAATGGGAGAAAAGATTAGTGGAATAGAATATATGTATATAGGCGTTCTAAGCAGAACAATTTAGGACCAACTTTGACCTAGTATGGTTAATATAATTATATGTTTGTACACCTCCCCTGATCATTGAAAGTTAATCTTAATAATTCTGAAGTTTGAGAGCAAGCCATTCTCTTTTTTGAAAAATTTTCTCTTGTTATCCCATTTCGCAATTGCTTGCTCTCAATTACTCCAATGGTGTAGAAACAGTGTGTTTCTGTGTTATGAATTGAAGTTTCTCGATTCGCATTCATCGAACTAGTTAATTGGTTCAGTCTCGTACCCTTATCATCTATTATCCCTATCTTTAATGGTGTTCTTGGTCATCATCATTTAGAGCAATAGAAAACTAGCAACCATGTTACTGTTTTTTGTCGTTTAATTTTTTCTTTTTCTGTTCATGGGAATAAATTTTTCATTGGATTTGCTGGTACTTACAAGTAATTAGACAGTCAAGTAGAAAATTCTGAATAGTGGATATTCTATGCTCTATTTCCTTTCTTGAGGCTGATTTTCAATAAATATTTTATTCCAGTGGGTAGCAACAAATATGGTATAATCTATTATTGTACTAATACGATTGTATGGCTAGGTAATTAAATAATATTTGTTCAACTAATTACACTGCATTTTATCTCTTTAGGTTGACGAAGTCTACGATGGTTTGGACTTCACTATACTAGTCTCCCGTGATGAGCTGGAAGAGATGTGCAAAGATCTCATTGAACGCATGTCCTCTGTTCTGCAATCTGCCATCAAAATTGCAGAAAACTTTTTGCCCAACGTTGCTAACGATCTGCGTGATATCATCATCTTCGGTGGTGGCACCCGTATACCATCTGTCCAAGCTGCCATTCTCTCCGTAACAAACAAGTTGGTTTTGTTTACTTAATTATTTTCAGTAGAATAATTAAGTACAGCTTTGATAATAGCTATCGTTTTTCAACTACATAGAGATAGTATAAAAAGGAGCGTAAACACAGATGAAGCTGCAGCCTTGGGGGCTGTCTATCAAGCAGCTGCAAATACACCTGGTTTTCTCGTAAAGAGAATTGTTTTACGTGATATGGCTCCCTATCCTATTGCTGTAAGTGGTATAAATATTTCAGTGATCTCTCTATCCTCAATCCAACACATTATATTCCTTCACTTTAGATCACTTTCCCTCGGATTAACACATCAGCTGATTCCAATGATGAGGAGTTTGTAACGAGGACTCTCTTCCCTGCCAATAGTCTTTTCCCTCAAAGGCGCACAATCAAGTTCCCTCATTTGGAAAAGGACATTGCTGTCCATGTCCACTACGGCGAAACCCCGGCTGATCAATCCAGGTTAAATATTATATCAAATGGCAGGCTTTATGATAGTTATCATAAGCCCTTTAGTTGACTTCAGGCTTCACAGGGGGAGAGGAACATCAAATCGGAAAAAGTCGAGAGGGGGGAACAGAAGAGTGTTTCAAAGATGTAAAAGAGACAGACACAAAGGTAGAAAAAAGGTGAGGTGAGTACTGTGAAGCAGTCGAATATGACATACAGTGGGGTGATGGCAGTTTGAAGTCAGAAGTCAACTACCGGTTAATAGGTTTTTTTGCCGTATGAGTATATGTTGCCCAGGTAGCACCACGTGGAGGTAAGTCTATCGCACACCCCAGAAAGTCAATATCATTTCATATAAAGTGGTAGCGGGTTTGTGACAAAGGGATCGAAATTATATTACGGTAGACAGTATTATTCGTTAGTCCGGTAAGCAACAAATGGAGGTGATTATTTAATAAATTGGGTAGCATGGAAATGGTTATCAGCACATTCGTCCCATAAAGTGCCGCATATGCACTATAATTATAATTTTTTATGCTCTTATTATTGTGTATTTAAACTAAGCATAAATATATGAAAGAATGCAATTCCATTGCTTTAATGAGAAATAACTAATTTTAACTTTACTAACATTGCTTCTGTGAGTACTGGGTTTGTCTATATATTAAGCTAAAACGTTGTTCAATTATTTCCTATTCATTAATTATCTCAAATAATTGGGAAAGCATATCATCGTAAAGCTATTTTTTCATTTTTATTTATCTTTATAAAGTAAATTAGTTTAACAAAAGGAAGACTATTTAAGCCAACAACAATTTATTTTTCACTATTATATCTTAAAAAATTTAAAAATTACTTGCAATATATCGTAAATTACGACATTAATTGTACTGAATATAGAAAATAACATTATTGCATTTATTTTGAAATGCCAAAAAATATTAAAATGTACAAGTTTTATGATAAAAATGCCTTAGGTAAAATTTTCTTGAGTAAATACTAGAAAATCCAACATAAAATTGGAACCTTATATCCTAAAATCCAAATTAAAGTCATTAAAATTGATAAGATTTGGAGTAATCAGCTTAAGCAGTATTGAGAAGGTCCATAATTTGAAAATTCAGTAGATATCATACTCCATCGGCATAAGTATGCCATCTTTTAATCGCCCTTTTCAGGGTGAATCACAACGTCTACAGATCCTCCAGTGGAATGCTGGAGGGATGTCTCCGGACAAAAAGATCCAAGTCCAGAAAATCCTACAAACCTATGATGTAGACATTTTCACAATTATGGAAGCAAACATTTCGGATGATAAACTGAAGTACTACCATGTTACACCCTGTACAATCTACCAAAATACCGGCAAGTTGCAAGTGGAATTCTAACTGGAGTTAAAGAAGGTCTAACCTCACACTACGATCTAATCAAGAGTATGGGCTCGACACAAGACAAATGTGAAATAACCAGATTAAATGTTTGGAAATGTCAAAAC